CACTAGCATCCCTTCGTTTCCCCGGCTGATAGCAGCAAGGGCGCACTCATGTAAACCAGACACTGATGCTTTGACCACTGTGTTATCTGACCCTGCTCTGAGCCCATCTAGGCAGCACCATGGTGAATACTCTGGCAGTTGGTCTGCATCTCACTGCCGCTGGTGGAGCTGCAGGTGGTACCAGTGGTGGGGAACGTGAAGAAAAATGCCAGTGTCCACAAGGCCTCTGAGCAGCATTTCAGTTAGCCACGCAAACTACAGGCTGCTTCCATTGGCAGTGACTCATGGAAAGGTTGGGGATGACTCTCCTTCGGCTCACATGGTGGGAACGCTCAGAAGCCGGAATGAGAGGAGAATCCGGTTCCTTCATTTCCTCTCTGATCCATGTGGCGGTTCCGCCTCTGTCTCGAGCTGGGCTGGCGTTTCAAAGCAAAGCAAAGCTCAGTCCAAACCTATTGACTCATAGACTCATAGACTTTAAGGTCAGAAGGGACCATTATGGTCATCTAGTCTGACCTCCCGCATGATGCAGGCCACAAAAGCTGACCCACCCACTCCTGGAATAATTTTCTCCCTTGACTCAGCTGTTGCGATACAAACCCACAAGTTGCCCCAGGTTTGCTGAAGATACTAATGAATGTTGCACCAAACCAAGCCTGTACTGTGACCCTGTAACTAAATCCCGAACCAGGTGGCTGTGGTGCACTCACGGGGAACCCCTCTGGCTCTGACGTCCATTGGGAGGTTTTAATTTCAGCTAAGGCAAATGAGCAATTGAGCAAATACAAAGTCTTTGACTGCAGGAAAGAGCCATCTCACCCCCACCCCCTCCCGCCACCCTCTGCACAGAGCCATCCCCATCTCCGGGGGGGCTGTCTCTTCCCTGGCCGGGGGGATTCTGACATTTAAAGCTGCAGGATGTAGAACATACATAAGTCAGAGTGAAACTGGAAAGGATCCAGAGGCGAGCGACAGAGATGATCAAAGGGATGGAACACCAGGCTTATGAGCAAAGGCTGAAGGGACTCGGTATGTTTAGTTTGGAAAAGAGGAGATTAAGGGGGGACAGGAGAGTGGTCTTTAGATCCTTGAAACTCTGCCATAAAAAAGATGGAGAAAAGTCCTTGCTTGCCATAGAACAAGAGGCGATGGGGTCAAACTACAGCAGAGCAGCCAGATGAAATCTCAGGAAGAACTGCCTCACTGTAAGAACAGTAGGACGAAGGAACCGACGCCTGGGGAGGTCGTGGAAGCTCCTTCACTGGAGGTTTTCAAAAGGAGGCTGGAGCCGTCTCTCTGGGATGGTTTAGACACAACAAATCCTGCATCTTGGCAGGGGTTAGACTGGGTGAGCCTCGCGGTCCCTTTGAACACTGTGGTTCGGTGATTCTAGGAAACATGTCCCCACCCCAGGCAGCAATATACACCGAGGTTTGCACCATCTCCTGCCTGAAGTGCAGGGTCGCCCTGTTTGTCAGCTCCCACCCAGACTGGGCCTCGAACCAGGACCCAGTCATGTGTTAACGGCCCTGTCTGGGGCTCCGCTGTGCTGTAGCCAGGTTCCCTGGCATGCGCACAGACAGGGCTGGATTCTGGCCCGAGCTGAATGACTGCTGGCCGTGGTGGAGAGAAGAGAACTGGGGAGACCAGGCGGGAGTCGCTCTGAGCTCCATGGACGGCCGGTGAGGTGCAAAGAAGCCTTGGCTCCGTCCTACTCAGCAGCTTCATCTGTTCTCTGCCCCCAGGACAGCTCCAGTCCCCAGCTGGGTGGCTTTGAGCTCCCGGGTGGCTGCTGGCCCTGCTCGGACTGGCTGCTGGTCACCCAGCCTCTGGCTGGCCTGGGGTAGTTCGCCAGAGCGAGACTCATTGTGCTGTCTCGTTTTCCCTGACCAGGTCAGCCAGTTCCCACGCTGGCTCTCCTGCCCCTGACTGCGGAGCGGGAGGCTACTGGCGGCCAGATCCGCAGTGTCTCCGGAGAGCAGAAGCTCGCCAGCGACAGCAGCAGCTCGGAGGGTGAGTGAGCCCTTCAGTAACCAACGCTAAGCCACTGCCCCCCAATGCCAGCCCTGGCAGTGTGTAGACTGCAGACACCTCTGGCTGGCTGGTGTGTCAAGGGATCTACTGCACACCCATCACTGGGCTGGCTGAGACCTGACAGCGGGCCCAGCCCCCCAGAAGGTATAAGCTAGACCCAGGATGTCTGTCTTCTCCCCTCCCCCACCTTCGTGGAGCTCCTTTCCGCTGTCCACAGAGGGAGCCCCATGGGGTCCAATAGAGCTATTGGTTATTAGGAACTGACTCTGCCCCCATCCCCCACTCTGGCCCCATACACCTCTCTGGCGGTGCCGAGGGGCTGGTGATGCAGCCCCAGGGGTCCGGGGAGAATTCCCCCAGTGCAGGCACCCTGGCCCCTTGCAAGCCCCAGCATAGATGGCAGGTTGGGGGAGGGAGGAGCTCATGGTGTTAGGGGGAGTCTGGTCCATGCCACAGCCCAGGACAGCTGCTCTGACTTGCACTGGGAGCTGTCAGCCCAGAATCTACAAGCACAGCTCCCTCCTCCGGGAGGTACCACACAGAACGGGACCCTCCGTGGTCAGCTTTCTCCTACCACCACTGAGTAAAGACGGTCCCTGGTGCGAATCCCACACCGGCAGCCAACAGAAGTCATGGGAGGCCGCTGGCTCTGCAGCCTGAGGCATTTCATAAGGGTAATAAGAACCATGTGGACGGAGACCCCCCCCCAAATAGATAAAATGGTGCCCATGGTGGCCTCCACTATTCCACGCACCCACGTCTTTCTAGGTGAAGAACTGGCCTTTCCAGAGGATGACCCAGATGTGGGCGGATTCTGGGACTCAGGGCAAACAGAAGAGGACGGGTGTCCCACAGGGGATGAGGAAGGTACGAGGTGGAGAAGAAGGAAAGAAAGAACTGCTCTTTGCTCAAGTCAGGTGCCGATCGCACTGGGCTTCTGGTAAATTTTTCTCCGTGTCTCAAGCAGGAGAGCGTCAGGGCAGCCTGCACCTTAGCGCGCTGATGAAGCTGGTGAAGGAAATCCCAGAATTTCTCTTTGGGAATTCGAAGGCCACTGTGGAGCCAGCTGAGGCTGCCGATAGTGAAGCTGAGATGGGCTCTGAGAGGGCGTATGCTGATGGTAAGCGGGATACCATACACAACCGCAGGGAGAAAGTCCGTGGTTCTATTTTGTTTACGAACCCTGAGCTTGGTTTTAAGGTGCAGTTTGAAAGCAGAGAGCGTAGTGGCTTTGTGGATACCTACCTGAGATCCTTTTGGGCACCAGGGATGGCGGGGGGAAAGCAGGAAATGGCATGAGGGAAAACTGGACTAAAGGATGGTAAATCGGGCCTCGCTGGCAGAGCAGAGGAGGGGTCAGTGGGTCAGTAGCATAGAGGAGTTGCTAGGACAGATCTCCTGAGCCCGAGGCCAGAACCTTTTGCCCACCAGACCATCCATCCTCGCCGTTAGTGGTTCCCGGATGCCCATCCAATGACAGTGGAGAGGTTTCTCTTTAACGCTAGGTCTAAATATCCCCTGTCAAAGATCCAGGTGGTTTTATAGGGTTAAAACGAACCCACTCCTCAGCAACTGGCCCTGAGCTGATGCTGGCTTTGTCTGTCTAGTTAAACCAGAAGTAACTCCAGAGAATCCACCTCCCCCTGGCCTGGAGAACTGTTTAGTGGAAGTATCTGTCAATAGACCCCGTCATGCCGACACCCCGAGCAGCTGCGTGTCCACCAGCAGCACAGAAGGGACTCTGCTTAGGAGACTGTCTGCAGAAGGTGAGTCACAGAGGAGTCAGACTATGCTAGGTCCCAAAACTGCCTTGGCAGGCGGACACGTCCCAGAATAGTGCTGTAGGAGTGTGGCACCCAGCTGTCCCGGGTGTGGGAGGTGGATCGGGGCAGGGGGGGTCTTGGAATGATACAGATTTGGACGGGACATAATCTGTTGGGTCCGATCTAGCTCACCCTGGGGCACTAGATCTGAATGCCTCGTTCCACAGGCAGTTTTATATAGACGGAGCTGTATGTGCAGCCCAGTCTTGCTGGCAGGAGTGTGAAGAGAAAAAAGAGAAGTGTTGGGGGTTAGTGTAAGTTCCTGTAGATTTGACGGGGCTCAGAGACCGACTGCCCTACGCTGCCATGGCTACACATCTCCCGCTGATCGATTTCTTTTCTTGCTATTAACACAGACGTGGCTCCAGAGAACAGCCCCCTCCAAGGTCTGCTGAACTGCCTGAAGGAAATTCCCATCCACAGACCCCGTCACCCCAGCGCACAAGGAGACGTGGAACACAAGAGAGTGGGGGTGGGGGTGAAGAGCTTATGTGCTGCCGGTGAGTTAAAATGTGTTTATACCTCAATGCACGAAGAGACCGTCTCTGGCTAGGCAGAGCAGAGAGCTCAAACGCTCTGCTTCTGCCTGCGTGTGGTATAATCAGAGAATGAGCGGGGGCTGATTGACTGACACTGGTTTTACACTGATGTAATTTCAGTGGAGTGACTCCTGATTTATACAGTGTAAATTAATAGCATCAGGCCCCCAGGGTGCAAAACTACACAGCCCGAATTTGGGGCCCAGTTAAGCCCAGATTATTTGGGTGCCAGCTGGATAAGAGCCATTCGTTATTCGAGTGTCTGTGTCCATCCAACGGGAATGTCACTGCATTGGTCAGTATTCTTGCCACGCAGAGGAGAGGTACGTGCGTGTACCAAAATCCGTGTTGCCGTGTTAACCTCCATATGGCCACGCTCCGTCCTCCTACACCGCATCCCCTTCCGCGCACTGGTCACTGGAGAGAGGTGTCTCAGAGGGGGAAGAAGCGCTGAGCCCGTGTGATTTCTGGGATTGTGGATCTCCCTTGGTTTCAGGCATTCTAAAATCAAAATGAACCTAGTTTCTGGGTAGACGCGTGACAGTTGAAAGAAGCGAGTGTCCTGTCTACGGTCTAGCGGCTGATCCAGTCGGCTGTGTTGACCATGTTCAGGAGAGAAGGAACCGAGCCATTCGGCTGCAGGACTTGGACTGAAATTAGTTTGTTTCTGTAGTTAAAAGAGAAGTCACGACAGAGAGTTCCCCTATCCAGGGACTGACGGACCTCGCTGTAAAGAGGCCCAGTTATCCAAGCACCACAACCAGCAGCTCATCTACCAGCAGCGCACAAGGGGATGTGGAAGACAGGAGGCTGGAGCTGGGGCTTTGGAGATGTTCTCATGAAGGTACGGTTCAGTAAGGCAGAGGATAGGGCCTGATGCGTCTCCCGGGAGAGTCCATGGAAAGACGCCTGTTGACCTCAGTGTCAGCGGATTGGCCCCTTCTCCTCGGAAGGAGGATATGGTTTGCAAATGTCTAAGATTATAGGATTCGTGTGGGGTGGAGTTTTGGCAGCAGAGGGATGTGCCATTAGCCAAACTCTAGGTCTCGGTGATGGATTTGACCTAAAACCTCAGTGTGTACCTGGTCGCTCCGTTGCTGGGGCTTGCGAGCTGACAGAAGGGTCTGAAATTCTCAGAGATTTGGAGAGAAAGCGGAGGGACGCCTGGGGATCAGAGGACAGGACTGCATAACCCCATATGAACACAACTGATTCCTACACCAAATCAAATAGGTCCAGAGAAGCCCTTATTTCCTCCCCGATCAGGACCAACTCAGCCAGTGCACACACGAGAGGTAACACCGTGACCAGTCAGGCTGTCTGGGGAGAATCTCCAGAAAGGCCACTAGAAATATAAACAACGGTTGGGTTTTCAGGGTTAAGTTCCATAAACCACTGATCAGCCCAGAGTCCCGTTTCCTACAGCCCTTGGGGTACCGTACTAACCCCTCCCACCCGTATGTTATCCTGATTGCTGGCTCTGAGCCCCCACCTCTGCCCTGCAGCTCTGACTGATCAGGGCTTCTCAGTGCAGGGCGAGGGGTTGAGTTAATAATGTGTTTATTTTAATATTCACACAGCGGGGACAGCAGAGAATAGCCCCCTCCAAGGCCTGCTAAACTGTCTGAAGGAAATAATTGTTCATAAGCCCCATCAGCCCCACCCGTCGCCCTGCAGATCGGCCCAGGGCAGCACGCGAGGGGACCCAGGGCAGAGGAGGCTGGAGAGCGAGGATGGGAGCTCGTCTGTAGAAGGTGAGTGTGTGTAAAATGATAGCATCCCCTTCGGAGTCAGGAACAGCTCTTTGCAGCCGGTCCGTGGCTGCCCCTCGCCTGACGCTCGCTGTAAGGGAGGGGCAGTTGGCGAGAGACGCAGGAGCGGGGTGACTGGCCCTCGCAGTGTGTCTAGCTGTGCCTGGTGTTTCCCACATTGCCTTGCACGTATCTGCACAAGCTTGGAGAGGCGCCTCTCGTAGGGGAGCTGGCTCAAAAACTCCACTGTCCACATCCAGGGAACAATAATGCTGAGCGCTTGCACCAAGAAGCAGTCGCATGAGCAGGTCTTGGCGGGCTTTGCGGGGGCGGGGAGGGTCGTTATCTCTGTCCCGGGCGACTCATTGACAGAAGTGGGGATAAAAACCAGGCTTCCCCTGCCCAGCCTGTGCTCGGTCTGCCAGACCCTCCGCTGGCTTTAGGAGGTTTGTGGATGGACTGAGCCAGCCCCACAGGTGTTGACCCGGACTTTGCTGTTCTGCATACAGTGAAAACAGAAGTAACCGCGGAGGATCCACAGGACCCCAGCTTGGAGAGCGGCCCATCAGCCAGGCCTGTGAGCAAAGCCAGCCCTCCTGCCAGGCCGTCTAGCTGCTCCCCCCCTAGCAGGGCGGAAGGAGAGGCTGGGGGTAGGAGCCTATTTGGCGAAGGTGAGCCATCAAAGTCACACCCCATCCCGTGTACGTGCCTTGTGTGAGACTGCACCGGAGGGGGCGCGGGCCATATGCCGCTCTGTGGTTCAGACAGATGGCCGTGCCCTGGCCTGCCTTCCCTCCCCAGCCTTCCCACTGCTGATCGGCTCTGCCGTGATGACCGGGTGGTGGATGGCTCGGTGCTCCTGGTGTCTGTCTCTCCTGTCAGCCATCCATCACTTCCAGCGGCCGCCCCCATCCAGGCCTCCTGGTCATCAGATTTATACCCGGAAAGTAGAGCCAATCCGCCCCTCAGGCCACACCGCTGATGACTGATGTAAAGAATCCCCGGCCACATAGACAAATACGGGGTCAGCCTGTCCTCCGGGGACCTGTCTGAGGGGAAATGCTTTACCAAGGTATCGGCCCCGAAGCGGGAAGAGGCAGAGAGTCACATGGCTGCTGCCTGCGGAGGTCGGAGGAGTGGGGCAGCGAGTCTCTATCGTGCCCCATAGCGGAGGGACCCGCTGCGCAGCAGCCGCCCAGCAGCTGAAGTTCTGACTTGTTCCTAGGAGCTGTTAAAAGGGAAGGCGCTGCGGAGAACTCCCCTGCCCAGGGCCTGCTCAGCTGCTGGAGAGACGTGACCAGCCCCTGTCGTACCGCCCGGCCAACCTGCAGCCCCTCCACCAGCAGCGCCCACCAGGGGGCGGAGCAGAGGGGGCTGGAGCCGGGGCCCTGGCGTGGTCCTTGGGAAGGTGAGACGGGGGTTTTGCTTCCAGACTGGGGAGGGAGACGTGCGCAGCAGACCTGAGGCTCCGCGGGTTTAAGAAGCAACAAGCAGCCACTTACCCCCAGGCTAGTCGTTGCTGAAAACGCTTGCAGAGCGTCAGGAGCTGACCACTCCTCGAGCGGGTCCCCAGGGCCGGGGTACGGGCTCAGGCTGCGGTAGAGATGAGATTCACGGCGAGGGAGCGGAGGAACGGCCAGCAAGTCACCCGCTGCGAGCGGGACGGCCTGGTTCCCTGCTGAGAACCCAGCCAGACGTTAGCAGACCAGGCGGCCGCCAGGGCACGTGCTGCGGAGCGGTCGCCACGCCGCATTCACACGCCGGCACAGACCTAGGCGTTCCCAAGGGGGTTTGCACTGATATAATTGCACCAATGTTGCTGGGCAGTGCTGGTGTAAAACAGGGCTTGCACCAGTGCATTTGAAATGAGGGTAAGCCACGGTGGTGCACACCCCAGTACACACTGGTGCAAAGCATCTGTCACAGTTTAGCTCTGCCAGTGGAAATAAACCCCGTCTAGGCAGCGTCCTGCTAGTGCTGTAAAAGCTCTGTGTGTATTCCCAGCAAGCGCCCCCAGCCCTGGCCTGCGTTACCAGAGCCGTGGCTAGTAACTCCGGCTGGCTGCTAGCCTCAGAAGCCAAATTCTCTCCCCAGCACAGGCTCATAAAGCAAAGGACTCTCAAAGTGCATCTCAGGTCAAGACCGGGAGGCTGATGGGGCCTGCACAGCCCCCTGTGACTCTGCCCATGTGGGGATGGGGGATCTCGCTGAGGGAGTCCGGGGGGCTGGCTAGTGAGTGGTACAGCGCGTTGGGGGTGACTGTGTTGGGGGCAGACACCGCCTGTCCTGCACCTGCAGGCCGTGCCCTCTCCATTGTCCGTTAAAGCAGAGGCGGCGCTGGAGGACTCCCCGCTGCGCGGCCTGGAGAACTGCCTGAAGGACATCGCTGTGACCAGCCCCCGTTGCTCCCGCCCGCCCGCCCGCCACGGCGCGCAGAGAGCCCTGGGGGAGAGGCCAGGGCGCGGAGCTGGGAGCCTGGCCGCCGAAGGTGAGAGCCGTAGTGCGTGGTGGGGGCGCCCCCGCTGGATACACCTCGGAGACAGGAAGGGTCAGCTCCTCTGCTCGGAAACAGGACAGTGGGGGGGGTTGGGGGTTCAGGTCCCTAAAATCTCTATTCTTTGGGCACCAGACGCGTTCCGTACACAGGGCGTTGCTCCAGGCATTGGTCCGCCTGCTCTGCAGAGGAGGGACTATACTAGGGAACGTGCAGAAATCCGCGTGTCCCTACCAGGACCTCGCTGGTTCCCTCCCCAGCCCTTTCCGTGCTGCCCGTCCCACAGGGATGCAAGGGGTGGTGAGGAGGGGCCTCGGAGTGCAGCTGATTCCGGGTCATGTCCATTTCGAGTTGAATTCGCCACTGGCCCAATCCCCGGGGTCTGATCGGAGGGTGTCTAGTTCTGGGAGCTGGGGAATGGGTTGGTGGGTTTATCATGCGCAGAAGGGCCGGGACGCCTCTTCCAGCCACAGCCACTGGGCTGTTATTCCGGGCATCGTTCCTATCGTTAAAACAGAAGCAGCGACGGAGGATTCCCCCCTGCGTGGCCTGCTGAACTGTGTGATGGACGTGGCCGTACCCTCCCCCCAGCATCCCAGCCCGCCGACCTGCAGCGCCGAGCGGGAGCCGGAGCCGAGGGGAGTGGAGGCCGGGCTCTGGAACTCGTCCCCTGAAGGTAGGACAGTGCTCCAACCAGCGGTCCCAACTGAAGTCCATGGGACTCTGCCACGGACTATACGGGACCAGGACTGGGCCCTAGAAAGGGGTGGGATGGGCCAGAGTCCACTGTTCCTATCTGCGGCTCAGAGAGCCGCTAACCCTGAGCTGGAGCGTGTCTCTCCATGTTTCTCAAGCAGAGGTGACGCCAGGGACCAGCCCCCTCCACGACCTGGCGAACTGCCTGCAGGAAACACCTGTCAGTACATCCTGGGCTTCCCGAGTGCTGGCCTGCAACGCAGGAGCAGATGTGTCACCGAGGAGACCTGCGACAGGCGTGGTGCGGAGCTGGTGTGGAGACGGTGAGCCCAAGAACACACACGCTGTCACACCGTGGGTCTTGTCGACGGCTGCCCGGCTTGCTGGAGGGTCCCAGCCCCTGTCACTGAGCGGTCTCTGCCTTACCCATCTCCGACCCTAGCACGGCACTGAAACATCCTTTTCGGTCACTCTTCCGTTACGATTCCATTTCTAAATGGTTTCAAAGGGTTAATAAATGATGAATGGATGTGACAAGCAGGAGAAAGCTGTGTTACAGATGCTTATTGGCACGTCACTAGGAGATGCTATAGATGGTTATAAGCAGGCGTAGTAGAATTCAGGGTTTTTTTTATATTTTTGACAGATAATATTGATATTGAGTTTTAAGCATTTTTTTCCTATTTTTAGCCATTTAAGTGTATCAGTTGTGCAAAACTGTGAGGCGGGGAGAGGGGTCAGACACTAGGGGGGTCAGACAATAAATATTTACTAACAGGAGACTGTGAGCTTCAAACATGTAAAGCTTTATAGCCATTAAAACACAATCTGTCAACATCATGTGTCAAAATATACCCAGTAACTATCCTTACATTAAACCCTAAGTTCCCAAGCAGTATTCTTCCTACTTTGCCCATAAATCATAGGACTGGAAAGGACCTCGAGAGGTCATCTCGTCCAGTCCCCTGCCCTCATGGCCAGACTACGTTTATATACATTTTGATGACTATTGATGGAAATAGTTTTTGTCGGTTTGCGTGTGTACGGTGAAATGCACGTTTGCTGACAAAAATCGAACCCTTCCAAGCTTAGTTATAAGCCATAGTCAGAAGCAATTGGTTGGGCTCTGTAACAATTGATTAACATGTGTCCATTGTTTATGAACCCTTGTGTAAGCTATTTCTGCAGGGAACCTTACTGCAGCGTTTGACTCCTTTTCTCGCCTTGGTCGTGCTGTGATCAACACTCTGTGCCTTCCATGAGGCTGTGAGTTTCTTTTTCCTCCTCGTCTCTCCTGTCTTTCCCTGAGTGCCTTGCACAGCTTTCCGTGCTGTCTGGTGTCTGTGCTCGGGTCGCTCCTCCTTTCCCTTCTCCATTCCTTTGCTACCGCTCCAGAGGGGTCTGGTGCCTCCTCTTTCAGCCACCTGGTTCCCCCCAGCTCTGCAGGCACTCTCTGATTCGCTTGGCTATGCCAGCGGTGTTGCATTCCTTGGCTCTGGTTTCTCTAAGGCTTTGAGTCGGTTTGGGGTCCTGGAGAGGAAGGATGGCATGGTGGGTAAGGCACTGGGGTGGCACCCAGGAGAGCTGGGTTCTGGCACAGGCTGTCTGTTTCCTGGGTCAAGTCACTTTGGGTTTCGTTTACACTGGAAAAACAATGAGGAGTCCTTGTGGCACCTTAGAGACTAACACATTGATTTGGGCATAAGCTTTCGTGGGCTAGAATCCACTTCATCAGATGTATGAGGTAAATACAGGAGCAGATATAAATACATGAAAGGATGGGGGCTGCTTTACCAAGTGTTAGGTCAGTCTAACGAGAGAAATCAATTAACAACAGGATACCAAGGGAGGAAAAATAGCTTTGGAAGTGGTAAGAGCGTGGCCCATTACAGACAGTTGACAAGAAGGTGTGCACTGGTGTTCATCAAGAGTATGTGGGCCAGATCCTTGGCACGTCCGAGGTCCCTTTGCATCCCAGAGACTAGGTAACACGCGTCATGTGTTCAGAATAGCAGGAAAGGGGTGAGTGAGACACTGGGGCCCATTAGATAATCAGGCCCGACCTCCTGTCTAACACGGACTGTTAACATTACCCTTGCTCTCAGCCCGCCCTGCGCTGCCCCTACAGCCAGTCCCTGGGTTCGGAAAGGAGAACGTTTCTTTTCGAAAGCAGGACGTGGGACGAGTGTCTGCCCAGGCCGAGCCGGTCTAAGGCTCAGTGGGTATGACAGGGCTCAGCGATATGGAGCTCCAGCTGATACTGGGCTTTGGATCTTTTCTTTAAACAGACATCAGCACGGAGACCTCGCCACTCCGAGGTCTGGAGAACTGCCTGAGGGACATCCCGGTAAATAAACCCCGCTACCCGCACATGCCAGCCAGCATCACCTTGACCAGCCCCGCGCAGAGAGACATGGGCCAGAGGAGGCCAGGGGTCGGGACAAGGAGATCACTTGGAGAAGGTCAGGTGAAGTGTTTACACCATAACCCAGTGTCCCCACCACAAGGATCAGGTGGCAGGGAGGGTCAGCCGGGGCCAGAATAACACCCCATGGCGATCCTGTTCCAGCTCTAGCCGTACTCCTGTGCAGCCTGGCTCACTTCCACGCAGTGAGCAGAGTTCACCCCTCGGCAGGGTCCCAGCACACGGCCTGGGCGCCACGTAACCCTGTGGGCTACGGGGTGAATTCCGCCAGACCTGCGCTCCTGAGCTGCTGCTGACGTTCCCTGTGCGTCACGCAAGTAGAAATAACGAGGGAAAGAGCTGGCGTTCCCGACGTGCAGATTCTGATCTCGCGTACGTCTGTTTTGGCTTCTGGATTCTCCCTGGGCGAATGAGAGCAGAAGCAGACCTTGGTTCTGAGTGGCGCGTGGTTCTGGTACACGCTTTGCCATATGTAGGCATGGGGATGGCGTGTGACCTGTTATAAACACAACGGGGTGTGTGTGTGTGTGTGTGTTTTAACCCATTAAAAACAAACACAATGTGGGGTGGAAGCCAGGGGTGTCTACAGAGGATTCTCCCCTAAGCTTTTCCGAGAACTAGCTGTAGGTAAACCCGCTTCTTCCAGCCTGCTGCTCTTCCTGCAGCAATAGACGTGAATCCAGACCGATTTGGTCTCTTCACTGCAAAGGCTCCTATTTATCCCTGGTGTAACTCTGACCTGAGTGGAGTTCCTCCAGGGATGAGCCCAGCTTAATACCTCGAAGTCCCCGTGAGACACCTAGAACTCATAGGCAGAGCCATTCCCAGCCTCTGCCTGGCCAATCGCAGTAGGAGCGCGGAGGTGAATTGCACCGGACGCAGGCTCATTCAGCGATGGAGGGAACCCAGCCCAGAGCTGCAGCCGTGCACTGACGCGGGCTTGGTGTTGTTTAAACAGACGTCAGTACAGAGAATTCACCGCTGCGAGGCCTGGAGAACTGCCTGAAGGACATTCCTGTGCCTAGCCGTAGTCAGTCCAATACCCCAGGCAGCCGCTCCTCTCTGAGCAGCTCACCGGATCCACGGGGCAGACTGGAGACCGCGGGGTGGCCAGTGAAAACAGAAGGTAAATAGAGAGTTCCGTGTCCCTGGTTCAGCTTTGCGGAACCGAGCACGGCACGGACCTGAAAGGTAACGTCTGACTGGGTCGCTCTTCGGTCTGTTTTACTAGCCCTGCAATCACATGGGGGGGAGGGGGGGAGCGCTAGTTTTCATGGAAGCATTTCACGTCTTAAGGCAGGATTTTCAGACGGGGAAGCAGCCCCTTGTGGGATAGTCCAAGACCCACTGGAAGTGGAGCTCAGCCCGACTTTGGGGGGAAATGATACGTTATGGGCGTATCGACAGCGCTGTATGTCATCCACCAGTGAAAACCTAATACCCTCGAATGAGTCGGTTCCTAAGTTCCCTGTAAGCCGCACGGCCGCCTATTTAGCACCCCGCAGGCGCTCAAGGAAGGTTTGGACCCTCTGATCTCTCCTTCTCTGGAATACTTTTTACTTTTCTCCCAGACTTTAAGATCTGCTCTTCTTGCCTCTCGCTGCCTTTGGTTTAGTTCGTAGGGCCCCTGAGGCCAGATACCAGCTGGTGTACGTCAACGGAGCCCCAGTGACTCCTGCGGCTTTGTGCTGGGGATCTGGCCCTCGGCGCGCATGCAACACGTGGTTCCTGTCATACTTTTCTGGCGGCTTCTCCACGGATTTCCACTCCCCGAAGTCCCCCAGGCCCTGAGGTCCAGTGAGACGTGAGACGTGGCTTGCTGGGAAGCCCATCACCGCGGCTCCTTGCCGTGCTTGGGGCTCCTTTCGGGGCTCCGTATGGTAACACACTGCACTCCCGCTGGAGGGCCGGAAAGGCTGGGGGTTTCAGCGTGCCTGGCGGGGGCTGGGAGCTGCTAGCAGAGCCCGTTGGCGTCACAGGTGTCCGAGGCGGATGGAAGCAGGGCTGCAACTCCCAGCCTCCCGCTGACAGAGCTGTCCTACCTCTCGTTAAAGCAGGGGCCGTCTCCGAGGTCACGCCACCCCTCCAAGGCCTGGAGAACTGTCTGAAGGACATACCCGTGACCAGGCCCAGAGGCTCCAGTGCAACAACTAGTTCCTCCTGCACCAGCAAAGTCTCGGGAGAGGTGGAGCAGAGGAGACCGGTGCCGAGGCCCTGGAGAGCATGTGCAGCAGGTGAGACAAGGAGCCACGGGAGCTCGGCAGGGCAGTGTCCCGGGTGGGGCTGGGCAAGCAGCGGGAGCGCACGGGGGACGTGGGAGCTGCGTGGGACTCCTTGATGTGCCTCTGGGAAAGAACGGGACCAAGAAAGCGGGATTAAGATTTGACCCTTTTTTAAATTCTCCATAATCCCACTCTTTTTAAATCTAAAAATGTTTTGGGCCGCCGGGTCCTGAAATCCCCCAGGTGCCCAGGACACGTCCCAGCCGGCCCTGATGCTGCGGGGTTGTATGGTTAAACCAGCAGCAAGTGCGGGGAGCTCCCCCCTCTACGGACTGATGAACTGCTTGAAGGAAATACCCGCCGGCCGGCCGCGCTATGCCAGCATCCCGTCTAGCTACTCCTCCAGCAGCAGTGCCGACGGGGAGAGGGACCCGTGGGGCGCCGGGCCAGGGACGTGGAGGTGGGGCACTGAAGGTGAGCCAGGGGCTTTGTGGTGTCCCGTGAGCTCCGTGAGCTCTCCCCGGCCTCACACAAAGCAGCGGGAGTTACCGTGCCAGCCAGTTCTTACAGCTGCTGTGCTGGGGACGGGGTTATGTGTCCTGGCAGGTTATCTGGGGGCATTGGGGGGTGATGGGGGGCAGTAACCCTGGGCTGAGGAGCAATGGTAAGACGGGGGGAACTGTGGGGTCAGGGGACCAGTGGGCTGAGGAGCGATGGTGGTTGGGGGGACCGTGGGCCGAGGAGCCCTGGTGAGCGTGGGGGACCACTGACAGCAGCAGCTCTGGGGCCCAAGCTCTGTGCTGATCCTGTTTTGTCTAAACAGAACTGAGCCCCGAGAATTCCCCTCTCCGAGGCCTGGAGAAGTGCCTGCAGGAGATCTCGGTGCCCAGGCCCCAGACCCCCAGCGCCCCAGCCACAGCCGCTGTGGTGGGCAGCCGGCAAGGAGAGACAGCACAGAGGAGGCCAGAGACGGGGCATTGGGACTGGCACGGTGCAGGTAAGAGGAGGATCGGGTTCACGATGTGAAAGGAGGGGCTGTGCCCTTTCCCGCTGACCTGCTCTCTCCCAAGGCCCCTTGCTTGTCTGGTGTGAGAGACCCCAGTGCTGGGGTGTACAGAAGGGGAAGCTCCGGAGTGCGGACGGGACAGTCAGTGAATAGGACACATGGAGGGAGGGGGATGGTGGAGTTTTCCTTCCCCCTGTGTCTGCCCCCCAGAGTCAGGGTAAACCAAGGCGCTGGGCAGAACTGTGAATGAGGGGAAGAACGAAGCGATGGAGCCTCCGTTGGAGGTGGAAGGAACCGGACACTGAGCTGATCCTGGCTTTGCCGAAGTCACCACAGAGTGCTCCCCGCGCCACGGCCTGCAGCGCTGTCTGATGGGCCTAGCGGTGAAAGGCTCCGTCGCCCCAGCAGGCCTGCCAGTAACAGCCCCGCGCGGGGGTAGCACAGCGGAGCCCTGAGGCGGGGTTTGGAGATCACAGGCGGAAAGTCAGGCCAAGGTGTCCAGCCGCGGCAGTGGCCTGGGTTAGCCATCTGAACGTTGCCGGGTGGGGCTCGGAGGCGAACGGGGGAGATCGTTTGGGTACGAGTCCTGCTGGGCCAGAACAACGGTCCCTACGCGAACCACCTAGCTTGAACGGGACGATCTTACTGCAGGCATCTGGCAGATCCAAGACAGCCCTGGGCTGTGACTCGGTGTCCAGGGTTTCCACGCGATGGTCCCATGGCTGTGATTGCTAGGGGGTGCTGAGGAACCTCCAGGACAGACGGGAACCAAAACCAGCACAGCAGCAAATGACCTGTCAGAAATACGCGCTTAGCCGTGCTTCCGAGACCAGGCGAATCCACGGGGCCCCGCCACGGAGAGGCCATTCCCCTGGGCCTGTCTCGGAACCGGCTCATGCTAGCGAGCCCAGGGCACGCTCTGTAACGCCGCGGTGTCTGGAACGAACAGCACCTGGCAAGAGTCTGACGCTGGCTCTGTCTGTGTTTGTTGTAGCTACAGTCAGCGCCCGTGTCCAGGGCCCAGAGCGCTGTCTGAAGGCTCTGCCTGGAACCAGACCCAGCCACGCCAGCCGCTCGTCTCCCCACAACACAGCGGGATGCAGCAGCCCAGAGGCTGGGATTTCGAGATTTCAGGCTGAAGGTGAACAGTGGGATTTTAAACTGCATTCACTTGAACCGGGCTGGTTCCCGGCTCCCTCTCCGGGCAGGGGAACTGCAAACCCTTAGGCCCGGCTCGAGGGAAGGACTGACTTGGCCTCATGCCTACACCCCTGTCTGGTTTCTCTGCTGCAGATAAAAGGCAAGCGGAAAACCTCCCAGGCCTGGAGGATTATTTGGAGGAAGTAGCTGCGCCCAGATCCCGTCCTGCCCAGTCCCCTCCCAGCAGCGCTCGGGGAGAGGCAGAGCGGCGGGAATGGGATGTGCACACGAGGAGTTCCGGTAGCAGAGGTAAGCAGAGAACTTGGATGTTACGGCTCTGTCTAGATCAGGTACTTCTCTGGCCCTCAGCACTGTAGTGCCTGGATGCCTCCCAGTCTGTGAATGCATTTACCCCCCTGCACCGCTGTGGGCAGGGCAGGGATGAGATCCCCACGTAGGGATAGGAACTGGTCACACAGAGTCTATGGCTGAACCGGGGCACAAAGTCTAATGCCCTAGCCACGGGACCACCCGGCCTCTACTTGTCCTGCCTCTGGCTCTCCCACAGGATGCAGGATCTTTGCTGGTGAAATCCAGCCCCGCAGCAGCCCAGCTGGGGGGAGCAACCCAGTTCCCATTGGCTGCAGTCAGAGCTGCCCCCACCGAATGGGAAGCGTTCAGTGATCAGCCCTGCTCACAAACCCTGGCGCTTGGGAAGTCGCTCTCAGCCCCTGCGAGCCTCCTCCCTGGGCGGCCATCTGCCTGCCAGCCCGTCGTGCCAGGCGCTTCTCCTCGCCCATGGCATTTGGCCTCCAGGGGCTGGCCGACTGGTCTCCCATCTCCAGCGGGCATAGGAAGGGGTCTGCCAAAGCGGAACCAGGCAGGAGAATCGAACCTGCTGCCACGGGTCTGAGAGGCAGGAATGGTCACGGAGTCTGTGAGCGGCTGACCCGGCTTTCTAGCGAAGGGCCTTGAGAGGCTTTTCAGTTTGCTTAGAGCAGAGGGACTGGCAGTCAGTGACCCGCAGAGCTGTTGGAAAGAGACTCCTGTGACCAGCCTGTCACCCCAGCACGCCAGCAGGACAGGAGTTAGGGGGCTGAGGAGAAGGGGGACAGGTGCTGGGAGATCCCCGAAGGGGTCATAGGGTAACCCAAGGTCCCGTTTAGGTACCAGCTCAAGGTACAAAAGTCTAGTGCAGACCAGCCTCAGGAGGGGCTGAGCGTCTGCCTCTTGCATGGAAGGCAGCGGGAGAGGCAAGTCCTCAGCCCCGAGACTAGGGCGTCATCTGCAAGCTGGTGCCGTTCGTTCTGGGGTAACCAGGGAATCTAAACCCCCAAGGACAGGGCGAGTAAGGTACCAGCGTGTAGCCCCTAGAGCCGCTCCTGTGTATCCGTGCACCGCACTCAGCAGAAAGCACCGCTTGCCACTTAGATTATAACGAGCGTGCTTCTGCATGGCAACGCCCACGCTTCCCGCCTCTCCCGGGACGGTGGAACAGCACATCAGAACGGCCATACTGGGTCAGACCAAAGGTCCATCTAGCCCCATTGTCCTGTCTACTGACAGTGGCCAATGCCAGGTGCCCCAGAGGGAATGAACAGAACAGGGACTCATCAAGTGATCCATCCCCTGTCACCCAGTCTCAGCTTCTGGCAAACAGAGGCTAGGGACACCACCCCTGCCCATCCCGGCTAATAGCCATTGATGGACCCATCCTCCATGAACGTATCTAGTGCAGAACAGCTCGGGCAGAGCACAGGCAATGAACGTGGGACCTGGGCCACAACCCGGCTTGGTCTTGATGTTGTTGAGGGGCAGAGAGAGCTGCCCTATGGCTCGGGGCCAGGAGCGGGCAGCAGACTTGGATATTTCTGTGTCGGCAGAAGTGGCGGCGGGGAGCTCGCCCCGCCCCAGGCTGAACTGTGTGAAAGAGATCACTGCCGACAGAGCAACGCCTTCCTCGCCGCCTGCCCGCGCTGCGCAGGGAGCCGTGACGCAGCACAGAGCAGAGAGCACGGGGAGGAAGCTGTCCGGGGAAGGTGAGCAATGGAGTTCATGGCTTTAACACCTCTAGGCTGCAGCTCTGCAAGGCCTGGCTGGTCCAGGGGGTCTGAGAAGCTTGAGAATAAGCCCGGGGCACGTGGCCTGCCGGGGGCTGGTTTCCTTCCCTGAAATCGAGGTTCTGCGGGTGCTCGAATGCACATGCGGCGTGGTCTGGATTAGGGCATGGTCTGCAGGCCGGGCTCAAGGCTTGTCGGCTCAGCGGAGACACTCCTAGACTCGTAGGACCAGGCGGTTGCCTCGTCCAGCCCCTGCACTGTTGTCAGATCTGTCACTCGGCGAGGGAGAAAATCCACATCTGCCACCACAGCAGATTCTAGACACCAAGGGCTTTGGTTGTACCTCTCGGCTGGGGACATACGGGAGAGGAAAGTGTTCCCGTGAGACAAGGGGGCTAGTGAGGGAGGAGGCCAGAGGATGTGCAGCCCCACTGGGAGGAGGCTGGGGAGGACACAGTCACATGGGCGGGTCTCGGCGGGAGGCTGGGGTGCAGCCCCATTGACTCCGCTCTGGCCCTGGCCCTCGGGGTACGTGGGCTATGAATGTACCTACGGGGTCCCTGCCTCTGTAAAATCAGCGTCTGTCCAAACGAGTGTACGAGTGGGTTGAGGATTCCATCCCGAGTGGGGATCGGGAACCCCCGGCAGGGCTGGCTCTAGGTTTTTTGCCACCCCAAGCAAAACATTTTTGGCTGCGCCCCACCCCAGCCCTGGGGTCTCCTCCCCACCCCACCGCACCCTCTGCCGCCCCAACCCTGGGCTCTCTCCCCCCACCCCACCTGCACCCCCTGCCGCCCCAACCCTGGGCTCTCCCCTCCCACCTCACCCGCACCCCCTG